GCGTCAAATGTCTCGTACAAAGTTCACTGTCTTTTGCATCTTGCTGCGGATGCGAAGGTGCATGGTACTTTACAATCTTTTTCAGCATTTGCTTTCAAAAAGAATTTGCAGATGATCAAAAAGCTTCTTCGCCGGTCAGGCTGTCCCCTTCACCAATTGTACAACAGGTTAAAAGAAAGTGACAACCTACAGAGCTTTTCCTCATCATGCACTCTCGATGGATATGAGCTGCTTGGTAGCCATGATGCAGCTGTTACACCTGCAGGTTGTATGAACCCTCAATATAAGGCAGTCAAGTTTCGTTCTTTCACGGTTACTCCTAAAGCAGCCAACAACTGCTGCAAAGTTGGAAATGCGATTGTCCTTGTTGATGCTATAGCACACAGTAGCCAAGATGAGAGCCCTTGCATTGTAGGAAGGCATTTTCTAGAAGTGAAACCACTGTACACTCAACCGTTTGACTCTACAAGGCTCAGTATTGCTGTTGTTGACGGGCTTTCAAATGTCCAGTGCTGGTCAATCACTGACATTCAAAATAAGCTGGTTATCCTTTTTTACCATGACAAGTTTGTAGTTGTACCTTTACTTCATACGAGCTAGCTGGAACACCGTTCCTATGTTGGAAGAATAAACACTGTTTATGTTCTAGCTCCTGGCTAATTTGTTGAATGCAGGCTACAGCAATGAAGAACTGAAATTTGTGCCAATGTTCTGATAGAAAGATATTTTTATCTCTTCTGAAAAATGCATCCAGCATAGGGATGTTTCTTAATGTTTCCGTTTAAGTGAGTGTATTAAAGGGACACTAAAGGCAACTATTAAGTTGACGTTGATTGTTGAAATAGTGGTCCATAAACCTTTTAGTGCTATTTTTGTGCCAAAACAGGGCTTATTTTGAAACAAAATTCAGTTTTAGTCGCCCGCATCAGGTTAGAGCACTTGAAATTATGCGCCTCAAAAACAGAACCGACTTGCGTCTCTGTTGCCGTGTACAACAATCGCCCAGCTTTACTGTGCAGTCGCCGACACGAGTAGACAGAAAGAAATCAGTGGGATCCACAGCAGCAACAACGGCCATTGATAAATTTACTGCCATTGGCTCTGAGACGGCAGATGTGCTTGGTTTAACTGCGCCCCGCTAGATGGCACGACCTGTCCAGTTTAACCACACAAAAAATGAATTTTCGAACTACTCGCGCCACTCTCCTTAGTAACATCTGGCGTTCTTTTTTTTTTCATGAATCAAACAAAAACGAACAAGCAGCATTTTATTGCGTCTCTTGGTGCATAGAAGGTTCTTTGTTTAGTGCAGCTAGATCGATTACTAGTGATTAATTTTAGGCGGTTCATCTGACGTCATTGGTATCATTTGGAGAATGTCCTTCTGTGGCGTTCGTATTCTTGTGCATTAACCTTAATTTTACAGTAAGTAGGGCACTGCTGTTGATATTGTCGATTTAGAAGTTGTCATACAATGAGCTTTCACTCTGATGTAAATTGTTATTTACTTTAGTGTCCCTTTAATGCTGGCAGTATTTAATAGTATTTCAATGAAGAAAGGTCATGCTGCCATTATGTCCTGTTATAGCCTCTGCTACTAGAAATTTTCATACCACATTTATGGTTTTGTTACTTTTTGTTGAGGTTTGGCAGATGAGAATTTTCTTAATGTCCACTGAAATCTGAGAACACACAAACAAAAAATGGAAATTATCGCATGATCTTCAGAAAGAAAATTAACTAGTCAATGTTTATGTTCATTTTTTGTCTGAGAGTGGTCACAGACAATTTTTTACAGATGCGCTTTTCCGTTGTGGAGTTTACTGAAGAGCAAACAGTAGCTGTTGTGCCCAACATATCGATTGTTGGTGGCAAATGCTATTGGCCACCAGGACCTGGCTGCAAGATGGCAACTGTTCAAAAAGCAAAAGCCCCCGAGAGAGACTGGAAAAGTTACAGCATTGTGGTGAAAGCTACCTACAGTACGTTTATTATAGATAGCTTTAACTTGGGTATAATGCATTGTTTCTCTGAATGTGTGGGTTCTTATTATAGGCACATATCAAGAGGCTCGTAGAAATCTGGATCAAGCTCAGTATTCTGATGTTGAGTCTGGGCTCCTTCAGAAACAGAAGATTAGACTGACCTTTTGGCTTACCATCGTGCTACACGTATTGCATTTGTGTTTTTTTCCCACTCCTCAAACCTGCTTTGCAGTTTTGAGACAAAGCCCACAGTCTGTTGTTCTGTCTTTTTAATAAGGTGTCAAAGCCAAGTCGTTACATCAGCGATGATGAAGTGCCTACTTTTCATTCACGCCCCACTGGTTCAACTAGGCCGTCTGTAGATGAACGTAAGTTATCATACAGAGAGGTTATTCTCTTTTGTAACATTCCTTTTTGCATGCAGGAATGGAGAACACTTGTGCAAATGCTTGCGATGAATTTCATGAAGCAAACAAGCTGCAAAAGGTTGGCAACCAACAGAAAGGAGAGGTAAGTAGCAGCTTACCCTTTCACAATACTATACTATAGGTCTCTCTTTGTTGCTACGCTCGTTCAGTGCTCATGCATATTTCTTTTTAAGATGTCGAAGCCGATCCACACTTCCAGTGCTTCTTTGGAACCCCCCAGCAGCTTTCCTGGCCCATCTGGTTCAACATGTAAGCAAATACGACCTTAAGAGTGCTTCTTGTTTGACATTGTTTTCGATTTGCAGACAGAGACTGCAACACTCCGGCAGAAAACACTGAAGGTAATTATTCACATTTCTGGTCTCATCTTAAGTTCACTAACTACTCAATACTTTGCAGATCTTTCAAGTGACTCTGATGAATTAGAAGATGATTGTGGTAAGCATTACACTTCCCTTACGGTGGAGAGCATATGATGAATAAGCTATGAAATTTAAAAAGTTTCCTTAAAAAAGGTGCCATTGAAGCATGTAAATAAGCTTAGCTGTATTTAAACCTTAACTTTTTTAAGCTGAGTTGTAGGGCTGTTAGGAGCCCTAGCTCAATAAATTGCATAGTTTCCCATGAGTGGATATTTAGTCATCCCTATAATATGCACAGCTGGGTGATGTTGCAGCACTTTCTTTTCAGAGATGCTGGATGGCCAGGAGACTGAAGCTGGCATGCGTGACTCTGGTAAACTGTGAAAGCTTCTCGTTAGCCATGTGTTTTCAGTTAATATGTGCCCCGTTAAACTTATCGGTCCTGTACTGACACTTTGTTAACCAAACCTGCATTGAAATTTTCATGTTTCGTCTGCAGCCATGGCTTCACCTCCTGCTCAGGCAAAAAACAAGAAGGCGCTAACTCAAGAGGGTACGTTCGTTATCAACTAATGGCATTTGCATACATATTGTCTCTTTTAAAGTGCAACCTCGAATGCATGTTCATGTTGCCTGGTGCAATGTAGGGCTAGCGTACTTGAGAAAACTTTGTGAGCTGTTTTTTGTTGTAAATACAGATTTTTCCATATTCACTAAAGTAAAGCTTGTGTTATTTCCCCTTCCCTTCACCTCCATTTAGGGTAGCGAACTGAGCCAAGCCTGGTTAACCTCCATGCCTTTCTGTTTCGTTTTCCTTTCTCACTATATTCTTACTTCACATGTGTGCCTCACTGTTTAGGCATATATGGAGTTTCTGTAAAGGACTCCTGACACCGAAATATAAAGCTTGAAATGTTTGCGTTCATTGATTGTCTAGCTTACACTGACATTACTGACGAGCACATCATTCCAAATTAATGTGGTGAACATTGTCCTTGAAAAATTTCACTTTGGTTTTTTTGCATTACCATTATTATTCATCTGAATAGGCAGCACATCTGGATATTGTCACTAGTATGATGAGGACAGGGTGTCCTGTGATAACGATTAAGGAGAGTATTCTCAGTCTCGCAGACAAGTGTGCAGGGTTTTTCTTCCCTTTGTTGTGTGGCTGCTGTCAGTGTGGTTCTGGCTGTTGGCACCAGTGCATGGCTTTTTTAGGTAACATAGCACGGAATTTTTTTTCAAAAGGGCACACTTATGATAGAAATGTTAGTGCTCGTTAGGTGCATGTATTGTATCGTTTAATTGTTTATAGAAATTTCTATGCTAACACTTCCCTGCAGTGTCACACCCTGACTTCCACCAAAGAACCATATATATGCACTTTCAAGGCCGCCAAAGTGCGACCACACCTGGCCATCCACGTCGTCCGTCTCTTTTTGAGTATGTGAAAAAATTTAAGCACTGTTCTGGTTCTTCGCACAATGTACCAGCTCGCCCAAGCTTCAACGTTAGCACATCTGGCGTCATGGCACTCTCCTGTTAGGTCACTAGTTCATAATTTTAGATGGGGGTTATGATTGATGATGTCGTGATGGATTGTAATTATACTTGGATAGTTATGATGCATTACAATATTTGAAGTTTACTTTTCGGATTATCAGAGCTACAAATTAGCACAAAAGTCACAAACAAAGATTGGTTGTCAGGGGTTTGCAGGCTTTTTGTACCATTTTATTTCAGAGTTCCAGCATGAAGTACTTGTGAGGCTGACAGCGCTGCGAATGGTTCAGAAGCAGCATGGGGAACTTCTACATGGGCTGATCGGTCGGTTTCGGTCCAATGCTGCTAAAGAAAATGCACCTTTAGTTTCCAGCCCGTTCTCAGAGTACGAGTCACTGAAACTGTTCGATGACAAGTTGACTGGCCAGATGAAAGATACGCTTGTAAGTGCATTGAGATTGTGTGTTGTGTGTGTTTTGATATCTGAGGGCCACGTAATGTCTTCTTTCTTTTCAACACTAGAGCAGTGTGTAAAGCCTCAGCCTCTACTGAATAGAATTTTAATTTGTCTCCTAGGTTACGTATACTTATAGAAAATTTGAAGTAATCGATGTATTCTTTTATTCAAGCCTGTATTTTCATATATTCATGACATATGTGCAGTTTTCATTGCGCGCTTACGATAAGTGTATTGGCTTGCCTCTATTTCAGGTGGAAGAGCTCGCGAACAAAGGTGGCAGCAACGCCGCTGCATGCACAAAAAGAATTCTCTCATACCTACTTTGCGACAATCTCGCAGCACAGTTTTCATGGTTTGGTAAAAAGGGAAAACACCAATTCAGCCAGCTCCGTCTCGCTTCTTGCATAATAAGTGAGTGTTTTTCATGTACTTGATTGAGCGCCTCTCTTGTTTCCCTGGTGAAAGCGGTGTCTCTGTTCAATTCAAATGAGCCATCAGGTGGCTGCCATCTAGATTTTTCTTTAACTGTTTGAAGCATCGTGTTTTTGCTTCTATGTTTATAGACAGCAGGGAGGTTCACCAGAAAGCAGTTAATTGGCTACTCTATGCCAGGTTATTGTTCTTGTAGTGTTGTTACTGGTGGATAAAGAGGGGGGGGATTCAGATGCCCTGACACCTTCCTCTCCTTCATTCATGGAAGCCTAGTGGGTGTGTCGCCACCCAGTACTGTTAATGAATCACCTTAGTATTTAGTCCCTCTTAAAAACTGATGAAAGAAAGGTGAAAGAAAGGTGCCTTTTGGTGTGATGAGCCTGCTGCTCGTAGTATTGCAAGGGTTCATGGTAGCCCAGACACGATTGCATATCTATACAAACCAATAGAAAAGTTAAATATATACAGTATTTTGAACATGGAAATAGAGTTAATGTCAATGTAGGAACAACATGGGGAATATAATCACAGTGCACAAAATATTACTAAATAAGTCACTTGCACTTATACTAAATAAGTCACTTTCACTTACAAATTTATTACAAATGTAAAGCTTCAAGTATCGGACTTCTATATAGCTGCCCCTCCCCCTGGACAGACTCTTGTATGACAATTGTCATCTGAGAGGAAATCAGGCTGTTGGCCAAATCAGGCTATTGGCTTGATTGAATTTTTAAGTTGGTGTCACTTCTTTCTCTCAATCAATTATTGCTTTGACTTTCTCAAAGGTGCTGTGCAAAAAGTTCATCCTGCAGATGAATTCACCATAGAAGCAGCCGTTCGAGAATGGTTGCGTCATGCCCCAGCAAGGCATAGGAATGCAGCAAGAGGTATATGCATTTCGCAGTAAGCTTAAAGGAAGTGACAGCTAATTTTTGCTGTGCCCAGTTTTTTTCTGTCGTAATCGAAGCTCGTTGGTCTCAGTATCCTGTTGGTGTGATGTAAATGGAAAACACTGTAAGAAATTTTGTATAAGCTGTGTGGATTAGTTCGTGCTTGGAAAACGAGCTAGAAACAGTGATGTGTGAGCACGATAACAGTCATATGCCAGCATTTGTGTAAGTTAGTAGGCTATATCAGTAACTCTGCTCATCCAGTGGAGGCACCTGTTTACGGTAAAACAAGTATACAGCTTTTTTGAATCTCACATAAAGAGCACAGTATATATAATCGCTCTTGAGTTTGCCTACAAAAGCACTAGAGTGGATCTCCATGCAATCCCAGACACCACAGCTTTGCTTCCTAGATTATTTCATCTCATTATGCTATCGAATAAATAAACTGCACATGACTGTGTGGCATAAGGACCACATTTTTAAAGAACAAGTATAATGCATTAAATGACAAGAAATTGCATATATATCTCAATTTTGTGTCACATAGTACCAAGCCAACCCTGCATAAGTGGTAAATGCATTTTTAAACAAAAATTTATGTCGCACTTTATACTTCCTACTTAAATCACAAGCGGCATAGTCAAAATAGTCACGAAAGTTTAGTTTTCAGTTTTTTACTAAAATCTTGTGACATGTTCTGATGAATTGTTGATCCATTTATTGGTTGTGTTTCTCATCATACTTGGATGTTAAGTCGCCTCTGAGAAATTTTCAGCAAGTTGAATGTTATCCTATAGCTTTATGGCACCATGTGGCAGACAATTACGCATACACTGGAAACTCAAGTTTGTGTCCAGTGTAGCTTTTATCTGTTGCACTGTTGTATGAGAACATCGCTTCCTTTTGTAGTAGGATGTTTCGAAACTGACATTTACAATGAAGCACAAATTACTGAAATGTCTTTGTATGTATTGATACTCATAAGACCCGAGGGCATTTCAAAGTGCTTTTTAGGTTCTAGAAGTAGCTATACTTACATATGCTGAAACGAGTAACATCGTTATTGCTAATGTATGCAATAGTCATCTGCATTTGCTGTGTTTCTGAAGTAGGCATCATCTTTCTCAATTCTTCTGCTAAGTTCAGGAGTGGAGCATCACAAGCCAAGCATTTTTTTTCTCATGGTAATATAGAGTATCAGTACTGCTGGTATGCTGTTGCTTGGAATGTCTTATAGTATTTGCTTTCACTGTTTCTGGATAGCTAATATTGATTCTCTTTTTTCTTGTATTCTTAGGATCAACTGTTTGTGACCAGTAGCCATTTTGCATCATGAATCTTTCAAGTGGACCTTCTCTTCAAAAGGAACTTCATTGAAGATTTTCGTGCAGCAATTTTTTATTCAGATTACTTGAAGCGTTCAAGGCGAACTTTAATGAAGACCTTTGTATTGTAATTTTTCATTCAAATAACTTAGGGCTTTTAAGGGGAACATCGTTGAGCAATTTTTCATTCATGTCACTTCAGACCGTTTTAAGTGAACTTCATTGAACTTTTGTACATTTTCATAACATTGAAACTTTCAAGGGGAACTTCGTCGAGAATTTTTGGTCAGCAATTTTTTATTCACATCTCTTCGAAGCGTTCAAGGCGAACTTCATTGTAGACTTTTGTACAGTAATTTTTCATTCACATAACTTTAGAGCTTTCAAGGGGAACTTTCATTCACATCACTTCAAACTGTTCAAGGTGAACTTCATTGAACTTCTGTACATTCTCATAACTTTGTAACTTTCAAGGGGAACTTCGTCGAAGATTTTTGGTCAGCAATTTTTTATTCACGTCACTTCAAAGCGTTAAAGATGAACTCCATTGAATAATTTTGTACAATATTTTTTCATTCACATACCTTCACTTACATTCAAAGACTGATTTAAATTTATGTTCAATAAATGTGTTTGAAAACAATGTGCTGTCTGTTGCAGTAAATCTCTAAGATCTTAAGGACCCAGCATAAACATGCAGGTTAGACGGCAGCTTGTGCTTGATGATAATGCCAGGCTGTTTGGGATTTCTTTACCAAATATTGCTAAAATTTTGTGAATTAGAACTTTTTTTTTCTATGCACATCCTCAGACTTGCTGCGTGCATAGTTCTGTGTGCCAGAGGCCTGCGCTCCCAGCATCAGCGTCGCGAGGCTGGCCTTACTAATTAAGTTTGATGTCTGACAGCAATCCGGCCAGCTTCACGTCTTTGATGCTTTACCGCATGTAGTTGGTTTGTTAGACCTGCAGTCTCATGGCAGTCTTGCTCATTGCTGCTCGGCTGTACTTTATAGTGTTCGATACCCACTATAAAGTACAGCCGAGCAACTATGAGCAAGACTGCCATGGGACTGCAGGTCTAACACACCAACTACATGCGGTAAGTGTGAACAGTGCATGAAAAAGCTTTTATTTAATAAATGGCAATGTCTATGTATATCTATTAAATGTCCATTCAGTGTCCATTGTGCAACGTACCTGCAACCTTACTCGGACGAGCATTTTATAGTTGCGGGTATATCTAATCTTCGTAATTTAGATTTCTATGGATATCTAAGAGACGTTTACAATGTCCATGAGAAACATACCATAGATGTCCATACAATATTTGTGGTTCACTGGGCACAGGGGCCTGAGTTCCTTTTCTGCTATTTAGATGCACTGCGTCAGTGAGAACAGACTGTCTTGCAACCTCCTGTGTTTCCGAAACACATCCTGCAGTTCCCCCAGCAACCCCTCATCCTCTATCCATGCCTGCAGTCTTTGCTTTATAATCTGCATCACCAGCCTGTAGACCACTGATGTCACTGTTATAGGACGGTAGTTGTTTATGTCAGCTTTGTCTCCCTTTCCTTTATAGACCATGCTCATCCTGCTGTTTCTATCCATCGGGAACTTCACCATCGACATTTATTTTGCTCACTGCCTCTCTAAAAGCCTGCTTAGACTTCAGACCTAATGTCTTTATCAGCATAATTGGAATGCCATCTGGGCCTGTTGATGTACTATAAGGAACCCCTTTCTCAGCCCTTTCCCTCTCGCGTTGTGAAAATGGAGCCATTGCGCCACTTGATTCATTTTTGTCTATTGTGGTGCATAAGGCACTTCTTTGTTGAAATTTTTGTGTCACCCTTGTTCTTATATATTAAATAGGTTCGTTCCCTTCTAGCCTAGCACCTTGAGCTGTAGTTATAAACGTCTGCTCCAGGTTTGTTTCATTCTTTAGGGAGTTTAGATGGTTCCAAAATTTCGCAGCTGCCTTTCTGTCCTTTTTACGTACTTCTGCCAGCCACTGAGCACCCTTTCTTTTATCTTTTCATTGATCAGGAGGGATGCTTCCCTTCTAGAGCTTAGAAAGATTTCCCATTTTCTTTCAACATCATCTGTCGGTTCACCCGATTGCTTAGCATGTCTGTGTTCCCTAGGCATTTCCTGGCGTTTTGCTATGGCTCTCTTAACTTCCTCATCCCACCAACTCTTGGGCTTGTGTCTTCTTTTCTGGGGTGACTTGCCACGTGCCTTAGCAAGCTCTAGCCCAAACAGTCTAATTAGATTAGTGTATGTCCACACAGATTTATTATCCTCGGTGATTATTTTCTCAATTTGTTTAGTAGCAATTTCTATTTGCCTTTCTGAATGAAAATTTTCCTGTAGTTGCTCATCTTGTCTCCTTCCCACTTTCGCTGCTGTTCCAAAACTTAGATGGATATGTTTGTGATCACTACCCAGATTTCTGGAGCCACCTTCATCTATGTGCATTCCCCTGAGCTTATCATACATCCTATGTGACATCAGTGCGTAATCTGTCGTTGACTGCAGCCTTCCTACCTCCCATATTATTTGCCCTTCACACTTCTCGGTACTGTTGCAAATGATCAAATCCTGCCTTTCACACACATCCACGATCATTTTGCCTCTGAGTCAGTATACCCATCTATATCTTCTAGGTGCGCATTCATATCTCCTAGTATAATTATCTCGCACTCTCCTCCTAATTCCTTAATGTCCTTTGATATACACTCCACCATTGCCTGATTGTCCTCTCGTGCCTTTGCTACCGTCCACAAGTACAAGAAACCAAGGAGTGCCATCTGCCCAGCTACTTTCCCTCTTAACCATAAATGTTCCATGCATCCCTGCTGTACTCTTCGCCAACCCATGCTCCTATGTATAAATGCACCAATTCCACCCTCCTTTTTGCTGCCTTCTGTTCTATTGCAATATTCCCATACGTAGTCCGGATTGCAGGGTGGTTGCTCCATGTCCCGAAGATGTGTCTCCACAACCCCATATACCATCAGCTCCTCCTGCTTCAACTGCTCTTCTATCTCTTCCCACTTTAACCTATTCTTGCCACGCATGTTTATATAGCCTACGTCTAGCTTAGCTCGGCCCTTGTGCTTACGTCGATTTCTTCTCCCACGGACTTCGTGTGGCTTGAATATTTGTGCCCCTTTAGGTCCGTCTTTGGCTACACTGTTGGCCTCAGGGCTCTAGGTCCCCCTAAAAAGCTATGGCTTGGCGACCCATTCTGTTACCGACCCTCCTGCCTGTCGCACCACTGTAGTGAATGTCATCCTGTGCAAACGGGCGAGCGCCGGGCTCTTACACGTCTTGGTTAACTTCCATTACGCTGTATCCGAGTTGCCGGCTCAAACCCTTGATCACACAATTGGCCTCCACTACCCTCCTTTCAATCCCACGAGGCTGCCCCCAGACCTCTGGGACTGTGCATATGGTCCCATGCACACTCCCAGAGCCTTCTTGGAGCTTACGCATCCCATCCTCTAACTTTCTCTGAAGGTTCTGATCCTTGCCCTTCAACACATCATTGAGCCCAGCATGAATAATGACTAGGTTTTCGCCCTCCATGCTGTTTTCTGCAACCTCCTGAGTTTTGGTCAGTGCATCCACCATGCTCTTCCGTAACTGTGCCTCCACCCTGACTCTCCCATCTTCCTTCACTGTCTTGAAGACGCCATCCCTAACCTTTGCCACGTTAGAGTCCCCCACCACTAGGACCCTTCTACGCTCCAATCGCTGGCTTCCTGTTTGTGATGGCGCCCCTGTTTGCTTCACCTGTTTCTCTCTCGGCCGTCTGTCCTGTGTTTCTGCCCTGCTTGAAGACTGCTGCGCCACCGAGCTGTATGTTCCCGGAGCCTCCGTGCTGTTGCCAGACACTGCGGCCCCCTGACCTCCCTTCTCGGCTGTTCCTTCCCGCCTGTCACTTTCTCCGCTACTCATGCCTTCCGTTTCACACCGCTCGGGGCCGGGGTAAAGCGCCATTAGCTCCTTTACCCGCTGCTCGAGCTCGGTCCGCCCTTTCCGTTCTTTTCGAAGGTCGCCCTTTATTTGCTCTAATAGGCTGGCGGTAGCCTCCTCCCGCTCACGCGACGCTCCGAGCTGTTTTTGGAGTTCTATCCTCTCCTGAAGCTCCTCCTGAAGCCCCTTGATGCTAACCTCCACGCGCTGCACGGCCGCCCTCAGTGCCTCGCACAACCTGCACACGAAACTCGCCTTCTGCGCGTCGGCCAAACTCGTGAATGCTGTCTCATCTAAGTAGCACCAGCGCTTGCATTCTTCGCACTGCACCAGCTCACTCTCGCTTGTAGTTTTCCTAGCCTCCTTAGCCATCGTCCGCCAGACCATCGGACCGAGTGCCAGACACGCCTACGTTCAACCCTTATCCCGCTATCCAGCCGCCTCCGTTAACTCTCCTACCTCAACAACTGTTTGAAGCTGCCGCTTACACCACACACATACGTGTTCAATTTCGCTAGTAGCCTCTCACTAGGCCCCATTCGTGTTTGGCTCTAGCTCTTTAACAACTAACCGGGCGCCCCGACCTTTTTCAAAACAGCCGCCTAGCCTGTTCACGTGGTCAACGTCACTACACCGTTGCCCGTGTCCCACCCCTACAGTACTCGCAACGCTAACTATTGATTAGGAGAGAAAAACATAATAATGGTGTTCACAAACACAAAGAAATGAAGGGAAACTAATCTTTCGTTGCGCGCTGCTTCTGCACCAACTGACCTTGCACAACCTTGCACGACCTTGAATCCTTAATGTGACTAACAACGTGCCACAAATCGAAAACAGCGGTAATGCCGACTGGTTAGTGGTTCGTTAGGAAAAGGAAGAAGGCACCTAATTTCTGTCTGCCTACAGGCGACACGGCGCAGTGAGCACTTGGAGGATGGAAACATCTTCCCTTCCTCCGTAGGTGAGTAATTTGCAATGGATGGATTAATATGGCTGCAGTGTACTAGAAGAGTGCAGTGGGCTTACTCCGCTGCTACTCTGATGCTTTTGGCGTCACATAATAAAGATGGCGCCACAGTCATCTTCAATGAAAGCTTCACCTGCAGAAGCTGCTCGCCGATGGCCGCTCGTAAAAGTTGAAACGTGCATTTATTCGATATTTGTAATAAATTTTCATGCTTTTACTGCCCTCTGACTATATTAAGCGCTTCTGGTGCTCTCGCTTCACAGTGTTTCCCTTTTCTTTTGCGATACAGCTTCCCGAAAATTAGTCCGATGGCAGCCGGCGCAGTCTGTGCATTCTCCTTTCTAGTGCGACGCAGTTAACGTTGTGTGTGTGTGTGTGGGGGGGGGGGGGGTTCAGAGGGTGTGTGCTTGAGTTAGTTGAGTATTCCTGATAAGCACTATATTTGTTCAGGCCACATCGTGTTTCCTCGAATATAACACCTCGTCGAAAAGGATGATGTATCCCACAAATTATATGGTTTGTTAAAGTGACCAAACATACGGTTCATGCTGTGTAGACCGAACCTAAAAAGAATTCGCAACAAGATTATACCCGCCCTTTCACTACACAATTAAAAAACAGTGCACGTTCACTTCCTAGAAAAAGCTTTAACATGCAGGTGTGCTGGCTTGGTTTGCGCCTTTATTATAAAG